GAGATGTCTGCCATGGAAATTAAGAAGATGACAGCAGCTGGGGGAGGGGAGGGAAGTGGAGAGTTGAATTCATGCCCTGTTACTGCAGAACTCTAGTTGGCTTATTTTGGAGTTTTAAGCCTTTGTTCCTAGCAGAAGTTGGAGTATGCAAACTATAACATTGACCAAGGTCACCAAATGTGCTGTTCAGTCCATTAGAGGCTCTGATTCCTTCCTGCTCCCTGTGTTAGACCATGTCACTCATCTCACAGTGGTCTTCTGGACTTTCATATCCAGCTGTGGTTTTGCATGCACACCACTGGTGAACAGTGTATCTGTCTTCCCTTTCCTCTTCTCCTCACTGGCTTCCCTAAGGATTAATTTGCTTGAGTCTCTGACTGTTTTCCCCTGTGCTGCTCTGTGGGTGGTTTGCTGTCAGTGTCTTGCTAGGTGCCCAGATGTTCAGGGCCTTCTGAATTTTTCCTGCAAACACATCATTTTCTTCCAACCACCCTTGTCTTTAAGGCCCTTTTCCCCCTTCTGCTATTCTTGAGCCACCTACTCCTATGAGGATCCAGAGCAGCAAAACCAGACCCTCACAGGCTCCCCTGGCTCCTGGTCCCTTGGCCTGTCTTCATTTCATGGCACAGGTACACCAGCATTCTGGGAGACAAATGTGTGTCAGCTTTCACTCTCAATTCCTTTCTCCCTCTATGGTATCATTATGTGCAGTATAGGAGAAAGTTTTTATTCAGTGATTAAGGTCAGCTGCCTCTTCTGTCCAGCACAAGGTGTTTGCAGACCACATTGCCTGTTTTGGTTTCCTGAAAACTGCTGCATAGGTATTGCATTTCTTTGCTTTATCAATTAAAAAAAGTAGTTTTACTACACCACATATCCAGCTACTGAAATAATCATGTCATTGGGACGACATAAGAACTTTCTTAGCAGACTTTCTTACATATTTTATTTTCATTTCCACAAAAACCTGTATATTCTTTGTGCCTGTCATATGAGTGAACTTAGTCAAGGGACAAAAAGACTATCAGATTGCAAGGCTGTTGCTTTGGAGTTTAGAAGGGTGCAATTATATCAAAAGCCTGAAGCTATTTTTATTTGCAGCCTCCCTCATCCTTAACTGTTAGACTTCTTTTAAATTTAATTTTGATACTTCTGTTTTTTTATTATTTTTTTAAATTTTAGCAATATGAATTATTTGTATTCCTGAAGAAAATTCTGTTCAGGTAGCTTTTGTTAGTAAAGGATATACCCCAGTTGTTCAAACTGAAGTCAGTGTGTGCTTTGATGGCTTTGGGAATCCAGTCAGCTGTTAGATACATGCCTACTACATAGTCACAGTCAGTATAGCTTTTGATTTAGACAAGATGGCTTTATCTATGGCATTCTCAGCAGCTGAATGTTCAGTAAAGACAAAGCAAAGAACCCATAGATTCTCTTGATTTTTAGCCATGTGTTTCAGCCTGTCTCTGCTCAGTTGGGCAGGTAAAAGCATGTCCTACTCTCAGCAGACCTGGCTGCTTGTCCAGGTGGCCCTCTTGGAGCACCAGCCACCAGAGTAAACCCCAGGGAGAGCCCTCCATAAAAACTGACTCTGTGTAGCTCTTCAATTACTGTAAGCAACATGAAATTTCATGGTGAAACTTTGACTCCATGTGAGCTGAAGAAACTGATCAAAAATGATGACAGCAAGCAATATGCCATCTGTTTTAGTCACCTCTTTTGTGGCTACTGGCAGAATGCTCAGGAGTTGCTGTTTTGAAATTTCTTAGCTGGTAATTGTTTGGGGCTGAACATTTGGTCCCTTGTAGGTTTAGATGTTTATGGAGTCCCCTGGCAGGTGGTGAATAAGGAATGTTGTAGTACCAAGCTCTTTCTTAGCACTCATCACCAAAAATCTCACAGGACCACATCAAATGTGTATTGATTTAGTTTCTTTTGCCAGTACATTAACCTGCAGCGAGGCTGTTTGCTCAAGAACACGCAAGGTTCATGCACGTTCTACCAGCACTACCTATCCTTCCTCCCAAGCTGTGGCTTGAACAAGCCTACCATTCTTGGCCTTAATACAAAGGGAAATACTAAACTTGACTAGTTAGGAAATGCTTTCTGAAAAATTCCTAGTGGCAGAGTATCTGGTTGCATAACCTTAGAAGCATGAGACCAGCCGTGTTTTTGTTTGGTGGATTCCAAAGAGAGAAGCACTGGGCAGTCCTGGAGTTGTGAAGATTAATGCAGGCCGTTCTCAGTGGTGTGAGCACAACAGGAACCTCCTGAAAACGTGCCTCTAGAAAGCCTCAGAAAGCCTGGAGGAGCACATGTGAGCTTGTGCATTGACTGTGCAGGCTGAGCACACAGCAGGGGCAAGTTGTAGAACTGGACTGGTGCTTGCAGTTGTGCTGCCAGCCACGTTACTGCCCCATGCTGCAAACAGGGATTGAGCTAATTTTTTCCACAAGCCCAGTGTCTTGACCTCCCTGTGCCATTACCATTCCACACCTTTTGGAAATGTGTCCAGAACAGTTAAAGGTTAGCTCTTTCAGCATGCAATTGTTAAATGTGTTGCCCTTGAGAGGCACATGCTGTCCTTTTTCAAGACAGCTTAACTCGGAAATTACTTAGCTCATTTGAGCTGTGCTCTTGCTGTAACTCAGGTTGTCTATGTGTCTAATAAAAAGAAAGACTTACCTAATGTCTGTAAATTGCTTTGATATTTAGGCTAAAGGTGCTGACAGAAAAATGCAGGATTAGCAAGAGAGGGCATTTCAAAGACACTAATAGGAATTGGATAGCTGACTCCCCTCCGTGCCTTGTAAAATGCCTTCTGCAAATAGTAATTCACACAGTACTGTGGATATCCAAGATGTGTGGGAAAAGTAACTGCAGTTCCATATCTTGTTCGGCTTTGGCTGTCCTGTCCTTATGAATACTAGGAAACAATGAATCAAATGCATTTGATGCATTTTTTTAAAACAGTGAACCTCAATGAAACTGTCATGGTATAAATCAAGTTATGCTATGCCTTCAGGAGATTGATCCGTAAAGGCAGCACATATTGGAACTATAATGCTGTGGTTTGATACAGCACCTCCTGGGTGTTGAGGAAAGTGGATGGGTTCTGGATTTAATTTCATTTTCCACCTGCTCTTGGGCAGTGAGGAGACCCTTTGAAGCCACTTTTTCTTTGCAGTGGTGATTCAGTGAGCATGCAGTGTGACCTGAGCTTGGACTGTATCCATTCTTCAGGAGGGAGCAAAAGGACTTTGGGTCTCCCACCTATCCTCCAGAGCCCCTTAACAGAGGCAGCATCTGTGTGGCTGTGTTTCAGAAGTGTTCCTCTTTTTATGAATATCTCCATGAACAAAGCGAGTGGCTGCAGTGTGGTTCGATTATCTGCACTGTGGATGGCAGCAGGAAATGCTGGAAAGTGCCTGGTTTCCCTCCCCTCCAGAGGTGCGGTGCACCAGGGGCAGAGGTGCAGATGGGCACAGAGAGCCACACAGGAAGCACAGAGTCAGCTGGTTTGGGTCAGGGAGGGAGTTGGGGAAGCTGAAAAATCAAATAATGCCTTGTAGCTCCACAGGTGCGTCCTTCATTGCATCACAGTGACCATCCCTGTTTGGTAACTGCCATGTGGTTATAGGGTGTTGTGGTGGGACTCCTGATTTTGAGGCTAAACTTCTGGTTCTCCTGAGCTCCTGAGCAGCAAACAGCACCTTGCAAAAGAGTGAACTGGGCTTGCTTTGAAGCCGTGGCTGCAAGACTTTCTAGGAGTTCCCTTTGTTTTTGGACATCACCTAATCTGCCTGCAGAGTTTTTTGCAAACCTCCCCTTCTCTTTGGTGGCAAGGGTGGTTACGTTACATTCTGCAGGTGCTTTTATCAGCCTCAGTCTATTTTCCTGTCTCATGGCTGTGATAATGCTGTGGTTTGTCCTGGAAGCAATTATCTTCTCTTGGTCCAGCACCAAATTTGTCTTTTCCGTTTGCCAGAGATCAAGGTCAGGGTGAGAGGCTGCACTTGTACTGTCCTGCAAATGCTCAGAAATTACAGTACCTCCTTCTGCATCTCTATGTGCAGAGATGTAAATCCATACTTGCACTGGCATGTCAGTATTCTGGAGAATAACATGCATTACCTTCCAGGAAACATATAATAATAGTTTTTAATGTTCCTATAAAATTGTGGCTATGTTTATTTACAAAGGGTATATTTTGTACTATGATTGGAGGTTTAGAATATGGAAGAATTTTCCCTTCAGATAACGTGAAGTTTCAGTCTTAGATTTCTCGTCAGGCATTTTCCTAAGTAAGAACCCAGTTGTGACAGTTACGAAACTAATACGACATTGACAAGTTGCTCTTTACCTCTATTTGACTGTACTTGGTTGCAAGTTAAACTACTTAAAGAAGGTAATAGTAACTCGTTTAGCAAAAACAAAAGTACTACGTCATTTGATGGTAAATAGAGTAGTCTTTGGTGATGTGTTTTTCTGCAGCAATGACACAAGTTACTGATTAATGTCTTTAAAATGGTAGGAAGGGGTATAGTGCTAAACACTTAGCTTGTTCAGATCACGACTGATTTGCTAATGTAAAATTAAGTGGTTTTGGCACTTGAGTGGTACTCATGCATGTATCATGGACTTGGTGTCAGATTTTCACTGACATAAAGCCCTCCTTACTTGCATATCTCTTCCTCCTTCCTCCCTTGGCAAATTTCTGAGAAGGCCTTTGGAAACTTCATGGCTCCTTTGAAAAGTAATCCTACCACCCTAAAAGGTGCTTGGCCTCTCCTCAGCACTGGGCAGTGCTGGCTGCCAGTGCCCTGTGTGTGCTCTGGGGCTCCCTGGGCAGCTGCTGCATCACTAGTGCACATCACCAGGCACACACTTCCTTCCTTCCACCCACATCCACCTCCTCTGCCATGGTTTCATACCTCTGTTCCAAAGTTCACGTTGTCCTCTCTCTTTCTCTCCCCCCCCCCCCCACTTTCTTTTAACAGCAGGAAAGAATTTCGTACACACCTCCAGCGAGCCCGGTACCAAATTACACTTCGTCACCACTACATGTCCCAGTGCCTCAAGCCATCAGGATGGAGGAAGACAGCGTCAGACTGCCAGCACACCTGCGTGAGTGTCAGCTCCAGGCTGCTTAAGGTCTTGGACTGAGGAGGGGGTGGGGCAGGGTGAGGAGTTACTTCTGGTTTTATGGAAGAGAGCAGGGAAGTCCCTGGCTTTATACTTTTTGTTTTGTTTTGTTTTAATACGCTCTAGCTGGTTTGGTTTTCTTGGCTGTTTTTAACTGAAGAAAATTACTCTTAAATACAATATGCTGAATCTCCCCTCCCATCTCCTGCGCTCCTTGTCAAGCATTTGGCCTGTTTTTCGTGACAGGCACAAATATGGAGGGTTTATTTTGACGGGAAGTGCTGTGTTTCCTTCCACTTTATTGGAATCGCTCAGTTACATTCTGCAACACAAGGTCAGAGTTTCACCAGCTGTGGCAAGTGGAATGCGTTTGTGCTGTGGCTATTTTCAGGTTCTGAGGGGTCTCAAATACTTGTGATGCCCAGGCTCTCTAGTGTAGAGCATGATTGCTGCCAGGGGCGGTGGGAAAGCAGGAGGAGTGAGCTTAGCTGTGCACAAAAGGATGCTGCAAAGGAGGAAGGACATATCACTGACATTGGAGCAAAAACTGGAGCTGAGGGCAAGATCAGAGCCAGGTACTTCCTCGCTGAGATGATTTAATGTTTGACAAAGAGGAAAGGCCAAGGATTGTTGGCCAGTGAGAGATGAATTAGGATGGGGACAAGAAGAGTGGAATTTTCCTTTTTGGAGGGGAAGCAGTTCTGATGGAAATAAAGATGTTTTAAGTAAACATCTTTTTGTCAGGTGTTACATTCCTGGGGTACTTAAGCAACAATGAACAAGAGGGCCGGGAGCAAACAAAACTTTGTGCTTTGCCCTCTGACAAACAGGTTTGGGATTTTATGTGGGGAAGAGGAGGAAGTCCATGTTTGACACAAGACACTGTCATTCCTGTCCTCAGCTGTCTTCTACACACACTCCTTTTCTGAATGCAAACTGTGTTTACAGCATTTCTCTGATCCTGTGCTCGCTCCCTTGCTGGCCACTGAGTTACTCTGCCCCACGGTCTCTCATGCCCATGCTGTGTCTCACATGTCCTGTGTGGCCCAGTTTTCTGTGCTTTCTGGTGGGAATGGGAGCTGCTGCTGCTGCTGCAGTGTTTCTCATGGCTGTGTCTGGTCCCTGCCTGAGCATCCATGGGCTCCCAGGCCTGGCTGCATGTGTGTGTGTCTGCTCAGCTGTTCCCCTGGCCCAGGGAGGACTTGGCTGTCACAGGGCATTTCTATGCTTTGCCCAAAGTAGGCACAAAAAATCCCAACACAGGAGCAGTTTTTCTCCAGCAGTTTTTTCCATACTGGTGCTGTTCATCCCCAGATCTTGTGGGTTTTTACCTCATTGCAGTAGTTGGTACTGTTTACTTCTGCTGTGGGAGCTACTGTCTGTCCACTCCACAGCCAGGATCACAGCTGGGTTTCCAGTTATTGCCCTCCCCACTGTGTCTGGCAGATGGATAAGGCAGGGAGGCAGAGACCCTTGATAGTGAAAGTGGTGGTACATGCTGTACCTGCTTCCTTCCCAGCCAGCATTATGGATAGTGTTGAATTTATAAAGCTTCCTCTCAGTGAAAACTTCTTTCACAATATTCTTTAGAATGTGATCCAACCTTTCACCTTGACTCTTGTTTTGGTTTTTCTGTTCTTTTGGTTGGCACATTTTTAAACTTGCAAGGTTTCTTTCCATTTAGTATTTCCACACCAGTCTGACTTGTTGCAGAGTAAAAGCACAGATGATTAATCATGAAATATCTGTGAAATAGCCTTCCATAAAGTTAGTGTCTGAGGTCATAAACAACATGGAACACATTTACATAGCCTTACTAATTGTAGTCAATGGCAGTGTAGTATTTTGTAGCTCAGTATGCAGTCAGTATTGACACAAAACATTGCTGTCAATCAACAGACCACCCAAACACTGTTAAAACCAAACACTGTTAAAACCACTCTTTAAGCACATAGCTTCATAGCTAGGCCAGGAGCAGCCATTGTAAATTTATAAAACAATCTCTGACATATCCTTTGTTACAAAACTTCATGCAGTAACTGCTGTGTTTAGGTCCAGTAACTGAGCTACAACATCTGCAGAAAGATTTCTGCTCTTCATGTAAAAAACTTAAGTGATGAGGAGGATATAAGGTCTCTAGATGTTCTTTTAATGCTTAATTATCTCCTTATTTGCTTTTTTTTAAGTGTCCTATTTATAGTTTGAATTAGTCAGCTTCAGTTTCCAACTATTAGATCTCATTATCGCCTTTCCTGCTAAATATTGTCGAAAGACTCCTCCTGATATAGGTGCTTTTAGATTGTCACTTCTTAACCTTTTCTTGGCTAAACTGTAGAGGAAGAGAGGTTCTTAAGGCTATCAATCTTCCTCTTAAGCTCTCAGGTTTCAAATTCTGTTTATCATGAGAATCACCTCTGTAAACCAACTGCCACTTCAGACATCCTTCTTAAAGTGAAGACAACAGAAGTGAAGATGATTCTCCAGTAGTCTTGCTAATATTGTGTATAGAAATAACTTACTTCCTTTTGGATTTTGTGTCATGAGATTTTAAGAGGTATTAATATAGGGTTTTTCGGTTCCTGCATGGACTCTTGTAATTTGTTTTTTGTTTATTTGTTTATTTTTAGAGATGTGTCTGAGGTACAGCTTTGATCTTAAATCCAAACTGCCTCAGAAGTCAGGCAAAGTAACTAATTTCTAGTTCAGGTTGTGTGTAAGGGTTGGGTTTAAATTCTCAAAGCCCAAGGATTTTCTGGTTCTGAGATTTTGTTAGGTTCCATCCCTGTGGTTGTTTTTGTTGTTTATGTGGAGCGTAATAACTTCTTTCAGCCCTCCCTCATTGCAGTAGAACAGGGAGATGTGGTAAATTCCTCCAGTCACACACACAGTCAAGCTGATAGGTTGTCAGGCCTGCACTCCTTCTGTTTCCAGGACATTCTGATGGTGTTCAACAACATCAGGGCATGGTTCAGTCCCAACCCACACATCTTCATGTACCTGTGCCATAGGTGCAGGTGACCCAAAGAGACCTGGAGACAAATGTTTCACATGGAACATGTAGAGCACTCTCTGGATTCAGTCAGTTTTGTGCCTTCTGCTAAGAAATTTCACTGTTTCTAATGTTCCAGATCACCCTGAGAGCACCAAGCAAAAGTATCAGAACAATAAGTAAAATAGTTTCCTTTGGTGTGATAAATTATTTCTCACTGTTAGTGAGCAAATGAGCCTCAGGTAGGCTGTGCTGATTTCATCCAGAGAATGGAAAAAGAAGTGCAGTTTGGAAGGGTGGAATGTGGACCTCTCTTTGCTACAAGCACCTTCTCTTTGATCAACAGAGCTAAAATTATATAGACAAACACCTTTTTCTGGAGTTCATGTGAAGGCACTTCTCCCTTCTCACACAGCCTTTCAGATTCTAGGTAGCTGCCTTCTCCCCAGCTAGCCTATTGTATGGAAATGCAGTGTAATCTGTCTTAACTTTTAATCTCTGGGATAATAAGAATAATTTCTGGATAAAACATACTTTTTTCTGGTGCTGCACTTCTCTGTAAGGGACTTTTGACCCATACTTTTAAACATAGTTGTCTGCCTAACATTCACCAGGAACAGAGTATTGGGGCATTGTCAACAAAATACCAGTTGGGAGCTGAGGAATATCCTTTCCTACACTTCAGGTATGTAGTAAGAAAACAGTTGCTTTTTGTCCCTGGTGTGTCTGCCATGCAGACATATATGATCTCTTTGCAGCATATATGATCTCCACTAGACTACACTAATGGCAGATAGAAGGAGTGTTTGGAAAATGGACATTTTTTACTGAGGATTGAAGAGATGCAAGTTCAGCTCACACACAAAGTGCTGCCCTTGATGCCTTCTGGGCCCTTGGACTCCTTGTTTTAGATCCTCCACTGTGAAATGAAAAAAAAACCCATGAGTGCAAAGACTCTTAAATGTTTTGAAAAATAATACAAAACCAGGTATTGAGATAATGGAAAATGTAGCTATAGGTGGAAGTCCTCTGGAAATACTTACATACCCCTTATCTCTGGGGAAACACTCCATTTTGCCACAGAGAAGGTTACTGGGGTTTTGTGGTGGGGGTCTGTGTTTTTTTAAAAATTTTAATCTTTGTCTCTGCTGGTAAAATGTTATTAGCTATTTATTTTATGCTATGGCCAATACCTTGTAATAAAAAGTTCTTGGAACTGGGTAGAGGATACAGCGTGTAAGAGATGGATATGAGAACCCTTTTCTCTGTCTATTAATATGCTCTGAATTATGGAGAAAACAGCTTTTTCCTTTTTTGTAATATACAAGATTAAAATAAGGTGGTTTGCTTGCTAAAACAGCAACTGTAAATGTGTGCTACAGGCTTGATGGTTTTCTTTTGTTCCCTTCAATATAAAACTTCTTCAAAGAGAGAGACAATAGAAATCCCAGTGCTGAGAAAGGATTTGTTGCATGCTCTGATCCTGTGCAACATCATTCCCCCTTGCACGCTTATGTTGATTTGTACAGTTTGATTTTTATCTCTGAAGGGCATCTTCTCTTGGGAACATGTATGTGTTTGTTTAGGGAGAGTGATCTCATGGGCAAAGATTTCAGTTTTCTCTTGATACAAACATAAAAACAAGTTCATTTGTTCCTCTGAACTACTTTTCTCTCCTTAATGTTGGCATCCTTCACATATCTGCAGCCCATTGTCATAGTAAGACACTCTGGATATACTTTTCTGTACACACAAAGCAATTCTTCTTGGCAACAACTAATTTTTCTTGGTGTTGCCTTTTTCTGAACCCCCAGTGGTTTGCACTGATGTTCAGAGTGCAGTGATAAACTTGAGATACAGAGATAAACTTGAGATCACAGTACATGCATCACCTCATAGGGGAGAACTTTTACTTTGGGACTGCAGTGTTGTCTTGACTCCATTCATTTTTGGGGTGTTGCAGTGGTAGGGAAAGCTAAAGATCTATTTGTAA